TTCTTTTACCATCGTTTCACTATAGTCTCAATAGGACAATTCACTTTATACACTTACCTATTTATCAACAGGCCAATATATTGCATTTAAAGATGTGTTTCAAGGTGGCACATTTGGAGAATGTATTCAAGGGAGCATTTACCTGCACCCTCACCCCCAAAACTGAGTAGGGTACATAAATCATTTTCCTTCTCTATTGGATAATTCCCACCCGCCTTCAAAACATGCCTTGCTATTTATCACCCAGTTAGAAAGAATCAATCAAACAATCACATCAACAGACTTTCTCTAGACCCTGCACCCCTCTCCAGGTATAGCCCCATTCCTCTGCTTTCCTTTACAGCAAAACTCTTGCAAGAGTTCTTAGTATTCTCTGTCTCTGTTTCCTCAACTCTCTTTCTCTCCTCAGCCCACTTTGATGGGATTTCCTCCCAGGCCACTTCACTGAAAGGACCTTTATCAAAGTCACCAATAAGCCACATTTTGCCAAAGAAAAGTTAATTCTTCTTTTGCTTGAGCTCCTGACAGCACTGGACATACTTGGCCAAGCCTTCCCCCTCCAAACACCTTCTCTCAGCCTCTATATCCTACTTTCTTGGATTTCCTGGCCTCATTAGCAATTTGCTTCTTTTTATTCCTCTCTTGGTTTCTTTTCTTTTCCTGGACTCCTCTACTCTTCCTGGCATCCCTTCTCCATCCATAGTTACCTCCAGGGCATCGCATCTACTGCCTTCGTTTTCCAGCAGAAGTAATGCCATTGAGTGTGGTTGTTAGGGTACGTGAGTGTCTTGCATGAGACGGACAGCAATTTGAACATTGCACCTAAAATGTCATATGGTGTGCTTGAGTGTGATATTGTTATATGACAGAATTACATGCTTATGATTTTGTAACAAAAGATTTTTATGTAATAAACAAGGGGCCCCTCTCTATATGCTGAGAGGTCTGAAATGTATCTCTCTGGTCCTCACTGTCATCTCATATATTCAAATGTCTATCCGACATCTCTCCTTGGCTCTCAGCCAGGCATTTCACACTTACCATAGCTAAAGCAGAGCTATTGATTCTCCTCACTCTCCACCCTGTCTTTCCCATCCCAGTCAATGGCACCCCTGCACATACCATTGCTCAAACAAATAAAAGAAGCATCACGCATGATTCCTATCTTTTCCTCACACATGCAATGCATCAGAAAGTCCCATCATTTCCAGCTCCGTAATGTTCTACAAATATAATTGCTGCAAGCCTAATCCAAGCACCGTCACCTCTTCCTTCGTTTACTGTGGCCACCTCCTTAAAAGAACTACAACCCTCACTTTTGCCCTTTTTCTAGCTCATCCACCACATATTGGCCGGAGGGGTCTTTCTAATACAGAAATCCGTCATGTTACTTCCTACCTAAAACCCTCTGGTTACTTCTCTAAAGGTTACCTGTGGCCAAACTTTTACCATGACTTACTTACGAGGTCTTATATGACCTGACCCTAATCTATTTCTTGGATATTATCTTGAGTTCCCTTCTCCACCTGTTTGCTATCTTCAGTTCTCCTGGTGGTCTTTTTTCCCCCTCACTTACCAAGCTGCTTCTTGACTCAATGCTTCTGTACTGGTCATTTATTCTGTTTGGAATGTACTTCTGTTCCAAAGGAAGGACTCTTTTCTTTTATTTAAACCTCAACTCCAAAGCTATCTTTCCTGAGAGACTACCCTGATGACTTTAAATAAAGCTCTTTTCTTCCTCTCTCCAGTCACTCTCGTATTCCACTTTGTCCTGGTCATGGCACAGAACAGTACCGCAAATGATCTCCTTTATGTGTTTGTTTCTATGTTTATTGTCTGCCTTCTTCCCATTGACGGTTGAGACTTCGTGTTTCTTGTTCACTGCGACACTCCCAGTACTTGACACTAATAAGTGACCAGTCAGTATTTGTCAACCCACTAACTGACTTAGAATTGTGGACAGGAATGATTGAAATTTGGATCATCCAGGGGAAAACTTGTGTAAGATTGCTGAAATTCTTTTCACTTTTAAGATTTGCTCATTCAAGGCATTCTCAAAATATAATCAGATCAAATTAAATACCACCTCTGTTAGAGTGGATGACAGATATTTCCCAATGTCAAAGACAAAAAAGAGAGGAAAAACCAACATACCAGAAATACCCCATTGCTATCAAGAAAAGGATGATAACTATGTTTTGTTTGTATCCTCCAAAGTTCTTCCAAAAACTAAACTTCAAGGTTCTCAGTGTTTCTCCTGTGGAAGTTAAAAAGAGAGCAAAAGGAAGGGAACTTAGCTGTCATTTGTGTAGTAAGTTTTCTTGCTGTACTAAAGGTCACTGATTTTACACCCTGCTTGTTAGATCAGATGCTGAACTGATTTCTCAAATGGTTCTGTTTTTATGGATGGTGCAATATTGTTGATGTATATTGAGTGCTTATGCAAGTTCTATATTTAGATTAGTATTTCTCATGGGTAACTGCATTAACTTATTTTATGACTGGAACTCTGAAAACCTGAAAAAGCTGTGTGTTTTAACTCTGCATGGGCCTAGGGGGGACCTGCTGTCCCCCTCAAACCTCTATACCAGGCACCAGCAAAGGCTCTTTTCAGGGCCTCCCTTTTTCCGTCTATGCAGAGGAGATAACTTATGGAAGGTATGATGTTTCCTTCACTGCTATGATTCTGTAAAACTGAAGTGATTTTCACTATTATTCATAGATGGGAGTAGTAAATCAGACCAAGAGGGAGCACAGTGTAGTTCAAGAGCATTGAGTTGGGATCAGGGATCCCAGCTCCTTTTTCCTCTGTGTGTAACTTCGGCCGAGCACCTAACCCTTTCCTGAACTCAGTCTGACAAGATTTGGGGGACAGAAATGCGCAATGGGGGATGGGGTGGGCAGGCATTGTAATGGGAACAAAGAGAAGATAGAAGAAGGGGCCCCTGGGAGAGCAGGAAGTGGAGTGCGGTGTTGACCCCAAGCAGCCCCGAGGGGGCTTTTGCTGCTTCCCCCTGTCTCCGTGCCCCGCTGTCCTCTAATGCTACCCAATGGCTTCTTTTACTTTGGTACTGTTCAAGTTACATGAGTCCAAGCACACTTTGGTTAAAAAAACCTTGTTGCCATGGAGCTGGGGAGAAAAATGGTACGAACCCACGCCGTCTGGTAGTACAATGTCTGCTTACTCATACCTCTGGCCCCTCCTGATATGTGCCAGCATCCCTTCTGGAGCTGCATCAGGGTGGGAGGAAATGGGTGAGCAGACTGGGAACAAGGGAAGCAGGGAGTAGGGAGTGACCGGCCTGGGGCAAAATGGAAACTGCATGCCCTGTCTAGAGGGGAGAGATGTGCTTCATCTCTAGCCAACTGTGGCTGTGCGAGCCGGCAGCATGACCAGTTCCAGGTTTTCCAGATATTTCAAGGCAACCTGAAAATCCATACTTTTGCATGAAGTTTTCTGATTTTGACGTGTGAGCAATTATTTTTAAAAATGTGGATACAATGGCGATCAAACTATAAATATCTAATATACATCTAGCTGGTCCTCTCAGACCTGCGAGACAATTATAGTAATAATAGCTTAATATCTGTTGAATCCCAGCAGAGATTGTAAGCACTTTCTCTGTAGGAATTCATTAAATCCTCATAACAACTCTACGCAATAGCTACTATGTTGTCCCCATTTTCACGACTGCAAACTGAAACATAGCAAAATTAAGTCACTTGGTTCTCGTCCTGCAGCTAGTAAGAGAGGGTGGTACACCAATCTTGCCCTTCTGACTCTAGGCTTTGGCCCTTCAACCCTCAGCTGCCTGGAAAACCTGGCTCAACTCCCCTTCCCGATCGCTGCCTCCTCAAGCTTTTCTTTCCCGGGCACGTGTCTAGGGCCAAGTTCCTTTCATTGTACGTGATTCCTGGGATAAGATTTAAAGTCTCCCCATCATCCTGGGGTTTGTACTGAGAAAACTTGAGCTTTCACTAATGTCACTGGACAAGCGGGGCACCCAGAGCTCCATCCGTCCCACCCCCCTCTTTGGACACACCCCGACCAGCAACCCGTACATAGGTTTTGTAAGGTCACGGTGCTCAAAAGAAACATGATTTTTTCCCCTCTGTTTTGACTTAAAAAAACACATCTTTTCTTCAGCAAATGTCACTGTGGTTTCAAAGCCTAAGTGTGATATGTAAGCGGGCAGCATTTTTAAAGTATTTCCTGCTCCACCATAGGGTGAAATTATGCAAGCCAGTGAGTCCTGAAAACAGCTGCATCAAATTCTTAACACCTGCAGAAAGAGAAGTTTTGAAAATAATTTTACATTGTTTTGAATTTCGGGATTGGTTGGTTTTCTGTTGTTTCCAACGTCGAAGGACCGCCCAATTTATGAGACCTTCACTTGAGAATTTGAGAGCTTCAGAAAGAAGTTTGCAAATCTAAGGGAGAGACTTCACCAAATTTGTATTTTCACGAATGCACTTAAAACTTCTGGAATGGGCCTGGGGGCTATTTCTTAGAAAAACAAAAGCTCCGAGCTCTAGTTCACCACGGAGCCTTCGCATCACCCCTGGGATCCTTGGTAGTGTTTCCTGTCGTGTGGGGTTGGCGGGGGGAGATACCGCCGCGGGGGGTGGGGTCCCGTCTTGTGTGCGGGGGAAACGCAGCACCGAGCTCCCTTGACCTATTGCATCCTCCCTGGCTTTTCAAGTTAAATAGTTGGATTTCCTGAAATTGTTGAACTGGGTGTCAGTGCAGGCGCCCCCTTTCCCCTTCTCCTCCTCCCTAGGGTGCGAGTTGCCGCTGGTCGGGGGGAGTGGGATGGAGGGCGGTGAGAGCCCTGGGAGAGAAACTGAAGCGACGAACCCAGGACAGGAAAAGTGGGAGGAGGAGGAGGCGGGGGTGGAGGGCGGGGGAGGAGGCCGTAAGCTGAGAGGAGGGAAACGTGTCACCATCCCGAGTCTGGGAGCTCGGCGGCCGCCGGGCTTGTTGACTCGCACTGGAGAGGTCTTGAAGCTGGACGGGACCCCGCGGAGGGCAGAGCTGGGAGAGGACGGAGGAGGGTGAGCCGGACGGAGCGCGGCGGGGAGCGCCATTCAAGTCGCTCATTTCTCTCCGGTGAGAAAACTTTCTTGGGAAGACCTGGAACTTTCCTGGGCTCGCGGAGTCTGGGGAGACGTGAGCTGCGGGTGTACATGACTTGAAGTGACTCGCTCGCGGGACCCTAAGGGGGTGACTGGGGAATCTCCGGGAGGGGCAGAGTCGTTGGCTCAGCAGTGGCACAGGATTGAGACCAAAATCGCGGGGCACTCCGCGCACCATCCGGTGGAGCGTGGGGAAACGGGACTTGGGGAAAGCGTCTCATATGGGGGCAACCGGCTAGGGGCCCCCACGAGGTTGAGTATCTTTGGGTCGGACACTGCCGACAAGCGTAGAGAACTGGACTCCAGAACCCCTGGTGGGGAGAGGGAAGACACGCCCAGAGTCCCGGGACTGATGATGGTGGGCGAGGCACCATTGTGGGCTGGGATGGGGGATGCCGCCGATCGTGGGACCCAGCCTGAGTCAAAAGATCGAAAAAGAAAGTTTGCTTGTTTGTCTTTCTCATTCTCCATTGGCTTGTGGGGCAGCCCCGAAACAGCCCATCTTTCCCTGCCATCCTCTTTTTTCCGGAGGGAGGCGTGGGAGGCGAGGGCCGGGAAGGCAGCCGCTTTGTCCCGCGCTCCGCTGGACGTGCGCCGACTGGAGGCCGGGGCACAGCGCGTGGGAGACCAGCCCGGGCAGGCGGCTCTCGGCGCCGGCGGCATCCTCTTTCACTTCATCTTTCCCGCCCGCCCTCCATTTGGCAAGGCTTTCCCCTGCGCGCCTACTGTGCGCGCATGAGCTCACTGCGCCCGGGGGCGGGGGAGGGAGGGTGGGCGCCCTGGAGCCCCTGCCCCGGCAGCTGCAGATGCTCCCATCCCAGCCCTCTCCCTTGGGGTGGCCGCTGCGGGTCAGAGCTGGTTGTGTACTTGCAAATTGTGCTTCACAAGTCGGCTCTGGGTGCCTCCCTGGCTGGCAGTAAGTAGGGTTTTCCCCTGTTCCACCCGGCCCCTGCCCTCGGTCTCATGCCGCCGCCCCTGCTGTGCCAGGAGCCCGCGTTTTGTTTGTCAGCAGTGAGGCGGCGAGTATTTATAGATGCCACTGCAATCCTGCGGTACGCAAGGTTTCAATTACTGCGATGCGCCCTATAAGACCGACGGCTCACGCGCTGCAGCTCAGCGGCGCGTCTGCTCCGAAGGCCAGAGCGGAAAAAGCTCGGGACTGCAGTGAGTCTCCACAGTTCTGGACCAGACGAGACATGCAACTTCAAGTGATCCGTGCAAAGGACCAAAGCAATCACAAACGCTACGGGTCCAGATTGTACCCATCTTCTGCCCTCCACCCCCACCAAAGGGTGCTGGCTAATCAAGCCTTGGAAGCCGCCCTTTTTTGACCTCCTTTTGGCGATCCTGACCACCTTGCGTTGCAGACTTGACATTTCATTGGCCTAAATGCTGCAAAATGCTGCTAAATGCTGGTGAATTGCTCTAGGGTAGGAGGCTCTATTGATAACACGCAGCAGCTAGTCAGGAGGGGAAATGTAGCTTGCAGAAACTAATTTAGCCACGTTTTAAATTTAGTTTGTGGTGTAAGGTTCCTTGTGCGACTGTGAACAATGAGGTGCTCCTCTGCAGAACCTGGCTGGCCTGTCTTCTCTGGTGGCCGGACTGAGCCCTAGAATATGACCCTAGGGTGTGTGCAGAGCACAGAATGTAGCAGATAAGGGAAACAATGCCTGGTTAATACACAAAGTTGTTGTAGGTTTTTCCAACGTCAACCATTGTCCTTTCAGTATTTATTGATGCTTCTAACAGCCAGAACCATTAATGGTGTCAAAAAGAAAGGCATTAGAGATAAATTAGTCCCCCTATTGTCTGTCCATCCTTCCTTCCTTCCTTCCTTCCTCACACAGTGGCTCAATTATTGGGGGAAAAAAAAATTCTCGTCCTGTCTTTAGAACCCTATTGAACTGCTGGGTGAAAATTTCATGCTGGTCATCCAGAACTAAATCATAATCTTTTTTGTTCATTGATGATTATGTGCACTATTTAAACCATTTATCAGTAGAAAATTGAATTTAATAAGGACTTTGTGGATTTCTTAATTATTTCTCTAGCCCAAGGGTTTGCGGTATGCATGTGTATACTTCCGTGAGGCCATTCCTTTTGCACTGCCCTAGTACAAGGTAAAATATACCGAAATCTTTCTTGAATTGCAAACTTTTCCCTTTTAATCTTTTTTGCAGAGCTAGGTCAATGCAGAATTGATTTGAGAAACAGAGTTTGAGCCCCTCTGGAAGTTCCCTATTGTGTTTCATCTGTCATTAAAAGTTTGTTTCCGAGAGTTGCCTCTCTGTACACAGAATGCAAATGCTTGTTAAAAGCGATGCTTGTAGAAGCTATCGTTTGTTAACAAGTTAGTGTGAGTTCATACCTCAGTTTGCTGAAATTTGGGAATCCAGTATTTTGTGCGTTTTTAATGGGAGTTGGGGTTAGGAATTTGGGGACAGAGAGAGTGTTATTCTCTTTACAAGGGAAGGTCCCACGTGGACCCCAGAGGGAGGGTGGGAGCATAGATGATGTAAAGGGATATTGAGGCATTAAAGGTGAACTTGAGTTAATTCAGGCGTTTGTGAAGGGCTGGAGATCTAAGGTTTGCTTTGAAACTTCTACGGTTAAATGAGCCAACATATATATTTTGTTGCAAATACTGTGAGCCAGGTATAACCATGGTAATGCTATTTGAGCCTTCCAACGACCTGAGTGGGTAGATATTCTATTCTCTACTTTCAGGTGTGAAAAATGGAAGCTTAGAGAGGCTCCTTACTTTCCTGACATGACATAGCCATTAACTTAAGCTCCTTGTTCTTCCCAGTACATTTTGATATCTAACTTGGAAGGCCTTCCATGAAGAACCCAGGGTCAGAGAACTCTGGAAGGTCCTAGTGGTTCATGTGGAAGTTTCTGGATTGGAAGTTGATAGCAGAGCAGCGCAGGAACTCTGAAATGAAGGGACAGGACAGGAGGTGGGTAAACAATGGAGGAACTGAAGGGACAGCCTGGATAATTCTGACAGTAGTCATTCCGTGGAAGAAGGAGAGCGGCGTTGTACGTAGTGTGATCTGGCAGGGGATGGCTGTCACGTTGCGGAGCAAGACCTGGCGACTGGCGCCGCGTGCCAGATGAGGTGCCCAGAGGCGAGGAGCCAGGGAGGAAGTACCTTGACCTCCCTTGGCATGCCTTCTGCTGTGAAGATGCCTGGTTAGAATCCTCAGGTTAGAGTCGATATGAATTAGGGAGCCCATGAGACCTGCTTTCGTTTTAATTGGACTTGACACTTTGAGGTAACCTTTGTCCAATCACTCTCTTTAAATATCCTTTTCTTATGCTTTGCCAGTTTATGGCCTTTGTAGATCAATTCTTGCATTTTATTTAGAGGAAAGGGAGAAAGAGAAAAGCAAAGGTTAGTGATTATCTAAATTGGATTAAGTTCTGTCTAGCAGGGTTTAAAGACATGCTGTTTGCTCTCTAATTACCATCAACTAGGAATTTAAATGGTCTATTAAATTTGACTTCTTTTTTTTTTTTAAACCCTCAATTGTTCCAGCTCCAACATAGTCTGGGATTTTGGAGGCTTTTTTCTATTCTTCTAGTGTGTAGAGGACACTCTCAGCCTCTCTACCACCCCCCCCCACCACCCCTTTAAAAAAATATTCCATTTCTGTAGCAGGACAATAGATATTATATATTCATTAAAAAGCAGAAGCTCCAGCCAGGTTCAGCTGCCCCTGTCAGCCTCTGGAGAGCAAACCAGTCAACCAAATTCTTTGTCAGGAGTTGAAGGACACCTATGTGAAGCTTTTTGGATAGATCATGGCTTGTTCATCTTATTTCCTATCATGTAAGGATAGGCCTGAATGAAAATCAGCCACCTTTACTTTGTGTTTGAACTTAAAAAAAAAAAAAAGTGTTCCTTATCAAAGTGGGTGGTGTGTGCGTCTTGGAACTGGGACTAGGCAGGTTGAAGCATCAAGGACCTGAACCTGAGGACAGGACCCCAAGAGAGTGCCTCACTGGCCTGACCCTGTTCTTGGCCCTGGTGTGCTTAGGAGTCAGCTATGGCCAGAAGGGTTTTGGAGAGCAATAAAGCTTGCTTAAAGATCTTCTTCTCTCTCCCTCTTTTGATCGTGGGCCTATGGGAAATCCTGGTCAACATCTACCCCTGCTACTGCCCAAGTAACCTGTCATAATTACCTGTATAGTTTATTTTGCGTAGAATCATACATTACACAAAAGCATGTATTGGCCTCTCTGGGCTTTCATTCTCTTTCCCTGCCCTCAATTTTGAGGTGTGGAGATTTCTGTCACGCACCCATTGGTGTTCTGTTTCCACTTCAGCTGCTTGCCAATTGCCAGTAACATCTTCAGTTTTTTGCTTCTCCCTTCACTGGTTCCAGAACTTTCTCCAGTTTTGTTGGTTCTTTTTGACATAGGCTGGGTTCTGTGTCTCGTGGATGGTGTCTGTGTCAGCAGTTAGGTTTCTAGTGAACACTAGGATTAAGGGACCACTTTGGTCTCCTTCAGCCGCTCAGGAACTAGACTATATGTCAGCTTAAGCTGAGCCTGGGAGAATAGCTGAGAGAGTTTGTTTTTGTCTTTTTCCCAAGGACTGGGGCACAAATCCAGCAAAGGCTGTGACATGTGTCTGTGTTATTCCGAACTAAGCTGCCTCAAACCCTGCCACAACCTGTTCCTGACCTCAGCTGCGTAAATCCTCTGTGTAAACCCTTTTACACTTGCGGGTTAATTCTAACTACTGCTTTGGAACTGGCTCGGGCTCACTCCCCAGCTGTCTCTGGGGGAGACCGTGTCGACTGCTGCCATCAGACAGGAGCAGGCTGCTCCGGCTTGCTGCCTGCTGCCGTCCACCACCGTGGGAGCTGCGTGGTCACTGCCATGTAAAACACGCTGAGGAAAAAGTGAGTGGGCAAATACCCCTCTGGGGTATTCTGAGATAATTTAATACAAAATTCTTCT